ATAGCGTTCTTGGCAGCGTCCCACGTAGGCTAGGTTTTTAGATAACATGTAATTTGGTTTATATTTAAAATTGTATACAATTTTTTGGTCAATAAAAGAAATTTAATTGAATTTATTTATAAATCCACACGGTATAAAATCAATATTTAAATTTAAGTTAGATCTAATCAATTTAATAGGAATATACAGAAGACTGGAATTTTCTTTGGCAACTGTTTAAAAATAACTCCCATAGCGTCCGACTACAATTATCACACATAAACCAGGTTATAATTTATGTATCGCGTAATATCATATGTATCAATGGTAAGAGCCCAGTCCAGGCGCTTTGTTTTAATTACTGTACTCGCGAGACGATCACAATCAACAACTTCGTCGATCACTATTTGTCGTGTTTGTCTAATTGAGAGAAAAAGGCAAACAAGGTGACAAGGTCAGACTCTATGTCTATAGTCTGTTATTTAGACTAGAGTTAAAAATCGTTTCTCAAACAACAATGTCAGCGCGCTTAACATACCTATGTTCTTACGGAAAACCTTTATAAGTTGGCAATCTCATTACTATACTATATCCATGCCCGATGCTCTACTATATACATTCGCACCGAGAATAAAACTTAGAATTATTTTATACGAAAAGAAATTATAACATTAACAATAAACATTTGATAGCAAGCTATTTATTTCGGAAAGATTCACTTTCATCCGAACCCATTACTAGATAAGGACGTCACGTGTAGGGGGTGAAGACTTATGACAACCCTCGTCAAATGTTGGGGTGCTGTCACTGCTCCAACGGATACACGGGAAACATTTTACTAGCATCATTTCAAAGGTTTCAATTTCACCGTCGGTTAATAGCGTAAAATGCGAGAAAATATCGTTTTATAACTTTTACAAAAATGAATAGCTATTTAAGAATAAATGAATAACAAACAAACAAAATATTTAAAGCCGCCAGGTAAGACCGCATATTTAAATGAATTATGTAAGTAATAAGAAACTTTCTCTTGTGCCAGTGCTCCAGATTTATTCAAAGGAGATTTATCACTTCAGGATTGTTACAAAGCAATACGCAGACATATTTGAGTGCATTTAGTACTTGTACTACCTAGTATTACATAAGATACATTGGGTGCAACGGCGTCATCAAACTAAACCTAATATAAATAGTATAACGTTAACCCATTTCCAAGAAAATGCAGCGCCACGAAAAGAACCAATGCTTAAAGGATAGAATGGGAATACTGAGATAAATCACGTCCAACGCCGCGCCTAATCCCTACGAAGTGGAGCGTTCTTGGTGGCAACTTAGCCACATGGCCCCTTTATGCCCTCATTTGGTACCCATTACTTACACCGCTTAGAGATTTAAAAAAATATATGTTCTAAACAGCGAAAAAAATTTTAGTAGTTACAAATGGCCAGTGATGTTGTTTCTGCCATTTGCTTCATTCGCTCCGAACATTTTACATTCTTCTTAATATTGTGGGTGATATGATAACTTAATAAGGGAGGAGGGTATTTGCTAGTTTATATCGAATTGATATTTAAAAAGCTACATTATGACCAATTAAAATAGGTGAGATCTGAGATATAATGAACATACATTTTTCAAATTTCTAAATAATTGTAGATCGATTGCCCAACGTTTAAGATACGCTCGTACAGCGAAGTTTGGACAAAATAAATTAATAATTTAATTGTAGTACCCTAAATTAACTATGCCATTAAGGATCTATGACACCTCTGTCTGTCCACATGTAGTGAATATAGACTCATTAGTATTCGAAACGTCGAAAAAAAAATTAAGCCGATAAAATCCGTATAATAGTTTTAATTCAAATACAAGAAATAATTATTTCTAAAATTAATTCGCTCTTTAAAAGCTAAGTTATAACGTACTCGTTGTATACTTGCTCACACTACTTTTTTTGTGTGAAAAAGTGCAAACTGTTCACCTGATGTTACGTGACAACCGCCGCCCATGGACATTTGCATGGATATTCCCTTAGGGTCGCGGATGCGATGCCACCTCTTAATAAAGTGGGCACTTCTAGTACACGATGGTCTTCTGTGAGGCCGTGTTACTTACCCGGACGGACCTACCCATTCGTGCAACAGCGAACACTGTTGCGTGGCCCTACCACAGTTGATAGTTATGTGGCCTTAGCTCTTTTCTTGTGCATTTATAGTAATAAATGATGTTTGAAAAAGATGAAAATCTAAACCTATGGCATTAATGTATTAAATTTACAAATGAAACACCAACTTTTTATAAAGCTTCTTTATTTAACGTTATGTTTTGCAAAATAGACAAATATACATTATTTTTCACTTAAAACTTTCGCATCAACATTAACAATTTATGTTATCTATGTACGTACATGCAATATATAAATTTACGATTTTAATAATAATCATAAGTTTACGTTTAACTTATCATTTTTTTAAATAAGTTCGTACAGGTTACTAAATTTAATAATAATTTAACTGTTTTAACATAAAGAAATAGGAATGTGTTAACAAAAAATCGCATTACAAATTTATAAATCTAATTATTGTCTTGGAGCTCTTAATTTTGAAATAATTTACAATTGAAATGCCAGTATAGTTTAGTTTTGACAATTTGTTACCTTTTAGAAATAAAAAAAATTTTGGAGGTATCAAAATAAAGTCTTAACAAAATCAGTTATAAAGATGGTTAGGAAGGATATTACATAAAAAATTATTAATTTTAAAGTGCAATTAAACATAAAGCCGTAACCTGCTAATGTCACAGAGCCAAACAATCATATCATTCTTCATAATACATGAGCAGTCTTAGATAACAACTTTATTCAATATTGATAAACAAAAATAATATTTTCAGTGTACTTCAATAAATAGTAAAAATAAGGTTCGTTAAATAAAATAATACGTTATATAAATTAGGTTGTTTAAATATTAGTAAAGTTAATTTATTATATAATTATGACTAGCATTCACAAAGGATATAAGACGCACCATACATTAATCTATCGTTTACTTATGGCACTACACGTCGTATATAAAATTATAAATGTGTTTACTCTTTAACCGTTGACTGGGCTCACAATGTAACCTCATACATCTTGGTCGACCGTCTTAGTACATTACAAAAATATGATCTCTTACATTAGTTATTAACAATAATATACATAACAAGCGCCTTAACGGCTGCCCCCAATAACTTAACTCTTCAGTTATAACGGCCCAGTAGCTTAGTTCCTAAAGTACCGCACACAGGCTCAGGGATTCGAATCCCAGTTACATTTTTAATTAAGTAGATTATAATTTTTCCACATCGCTTATTCCTCAAGTAATGTTTGTCCAAAGTTATATAATATTCGCAGCGTGAGTCAAAATACATTATCTATTTTACTTAAGCTTTCTATTATTCATTGAAAACAAACATTTCTTTAATTTAGATTTAAGTCACGTCAAAGTTAAATACTGCGGTAACTAAACTAGGATAACTTTATTGCTGGTGATAATGCATGCAATCTTACAACACGCAATCTTACAACATCGTAATGTGCGATTTTAGTATAGTAGTAGTAAGTATATTTCATTAACCGTAAATATACACTTGAAAAAATCTATAAAGTGATCTGAATTTTCGTAAAGCGGTAATTAATCTAGTTAAAGGAATAAGTATACTACTTATCCACCGTCTAATGGATTGGCTTTTGTATGACTTAGGTTTTGATTAATTTCTTTGTTTTGTTCGTCTGAACAACGACACAATGAGTTGTAGGGGAGATCTCAAGTGATACATTTGCAAATTACTCAAAACAACATGCCTCCAAGTACGACGTTTGAGTACCTTGTTTTTCTAACAAAGTGGTTGCTTTTATTGTTACACTTTTTAAAATTGTAAGATTTAGGTCATTAGATTAACAAATGTTAGAAGGTAATTAAAGACCAAGAAGATAAACATTAACTCATAGTTAATTTCTCGAAATTCAAATGTTCCGATTTATGTTACATGACGGAAAGTGACAAAAATGTCAAAGTATTATGTGAACACAAAGTAAAGTAAAGTAACAGCCAATACATGTCCCACTGCTGGGCAAAGTCCACCACGCGGCCCCACTGCGGATTGGCGGACTTCACATATCTTCGAAATATATATTTTTTTGTTATTATTTCGAAAATATGCAGGTTTCCTCACGATGTTTTCCTTCACCGCGGAGCGCGTAATAAGTCAGCACTTAAAGTTAAAAACTTCATTGGTGCCAGCACCGGGGATAGAACTCAGGTTGCTCGAGTACATTGAATTAAAGGCGAGCGCCCGAACACTGAGCTATCACGACTGAGCTGAACACACACCTACTAAATAATTCATAAAACATGATACTTTGAGCAATTACAAAAACGAACAAATTCTACCCAAGTTTTGCCTATAGACACTAAAAGAAATATTACTTACATGTTATCTCCAAGATATTGAGTTATGTAAATATTGCATGTGAATGAAATATAAATAATATGCATATTATAAAGCACTATCACAGGAATAATCATTGCGAAGGAATTTTACACCGGGTGTACAGTTGATTAATTAAAGTAGAATAATTTACTGCTACACAATTTTAATGAAATCTTAAAAACACTTACATCGAACCAATTATGAATCCCGCAATCAAATTATATTTCTCGTTTGTTTTCAAATTTTATAATCTAACACTCATTATAATTTAAATTGCTTAAACCAAATTATCATATCATCAACATACTCAAACGCAAACAATATAACAACAGATTCGTAGATTGCAGTAAAAACTAAATTAAAAATATTAAAAAATAAATAAACTTCTATTGCATTAAATACACATTTTGTTTTGCTTAAATAATATTTATGATTTGCACACAAATACAAAATTCAAACCAGCGAACCCGCGCAACGTATGTAATACTGTTAACACTATCAGTCTCTCGCGACATTTGGGACACCATTGAAACATCAATATGACATTATACATAGTCTCTACGTCCTGAGCCACAGTCTACGCTGTTCCGTTCGCTCACCACTGACACTTCCGAGCCGTTCTTTTTTCTCCTGCACCCTTTGCAAAGCTTCGATAACTAATGGAAGAAAATAAGAGAAATTGATATAATTTCGTAAATTACATTATCATTTAGTTGTATATAGAACTAGTTTTAGAGCCCGCAGCTCGCATGCTTAGTTTCTAACTAATATCGGAATAAAAACTATCCAGTGTGTTATGATTACATGCTTTACTGTTAAGGTGTAAACAAGCAAGTTTAAACATAAACTTTTGCATATATTGATGCAATAACTTTGGTTGACGGTTGTGAGACCACACAGCAAACAACGGGGGATTCGAGAAACCGTGCATAATCTGGTCTTATGATTTGCACGCTGCAAGTCTCTTATAGATGAGTTCTCATATGGAATCGAGGAACCTGACGCCTTACATAGTAAGAAAGTAAAGCTTTGCCGTGGAAGTAACGTAATGTAACTTATACTGATAAGTCATCGCCAGGCAAACACAAAGGACTCCAAATTAAATAAAAAAAAGGAAAGCTTATGAAAACATTTTCGTCCCACTCACCTTTATATGAGAACGGACGGGCTGTTGCAGAACGTATATGGAAAAGATTACGACTCCTTGAAGGGCGTTGATCAGGTCGAAGAGTGACCAAACGGAGACCGTTGCGGAGCCCGCACCCGCCGCCCATGACACCACCTCCAGTACCCAGGACAACCCCATGATCACCGACAGAATGCAACACGTCCGGAATCTGTCAATCACCAAATAGTATAGCTCGAATGTTCATGTTTCGTAAGCATCGCTACTCTTTCACCCGACTGCGGCGAAGTCAATAAAGGAAGTTGTGTTATTCTCTTATGAACGTATGTCCATTCCTATGTTCTCTGGTAACTAATAAGTGGCTAAACCTTTTTTCCTTCATTATTTTTTTTCAAATATATGTAGTTAGATTCGTCTTTATTGCGGTAGGGTCCGTGGATACGTTAAAAATATAAAAAACAAAATTACAGAATTTTGGAAAGCATTAATGACATTATTAAATTATCTTTCTATAAAAAGTTATTAATAAAACTATATCACAATTTATTTTATTTTATTTTTGTAAAGTGCTCAGCGATAGACAATTAAACATTTTAGATAGACAATTTAAAACAAAATATAACACCAATTAAAGAATAGAACTTAGAAGTTTCCATATGTCGATGCTTTTCGAAGAGTAAAAATTAATATTTTTGACGTATTAATGTGCACATAAAAAAATCACAAATTCTTTTTATTCACATTTTTTTTATTCTTCGATGTTGTTTTAATGAAAGCTTTTTTAAATGCTTACATAACTGGCGATTTATAATTGTACAATATTAATCGCCAAATATTGGCCTCTTTGACTAGCTATGACATTGCGGTCGGCTTAAATAAACCGTACTTACATCTTCTTATACTTCTTGAGTCTTTGGCTGAAATTGGCAACCACCTCGCGTGGTGGGGACGCGGCTCTTTCGTGTGGTGGCACAGGTTGGCCGAGCACCGTGCCCAGCCGCACCCAGTCATCCGACGTGCTATAGTCCGAGTGCGCCAAATCTAGCGCTAAATTAAAACAAATATGTAAGCTATTGTACCTGTAACCAGGTAAGCAAATATGTTTAACTGTGGTGGGTCCAGCGACAGAGTTCTCTGTTGCAGTTGCATGAGTGGACAGGTCCGTCCGGGTAAGTACCACGACCTCGCAGAAGACCAGCGTTAAATTTAAGTGCTATACTTCTGCCTTTCGTCTGGTGAGTGAGGTAGCCGAGGCCCACTTTATTAAGGTGGCAACACATCTGCAACCCTTCGGGTGTTGCAAATGTCAATGGCCGGCGGTTGTCACTTAACATCAGGGGAACCACCAGATCATTTGCCACCGATTTTCAACTGTTTTGTTATCATTTAAGTACAAATTGCCACAACAAAATTTGTTACAGATACATTTTTATATATATATATTAATTCCAAATAAAATAGGTAATGGTAAGGTTATGGTAATGTAGATAAAAGACGTTAAGATTTTCGTCGGTGTGGCCGTTTAGCTTAGTGGTTAAAGCATAAGAACGCGAATGCCTAAGACGTAGGTTCGATTCCCACAGCGGCGACAATCTTTTCGTACTTTTTCTACTTATTTTAATTTTAATGTTCAATCTTAAGTGCAAAGATTATTACTATAAACAATTTAAATTTCTAAAAAGCAAAAATCTCTCGTTCGAATTATCGTTGTAAAACGATATTCGAAATTATAGTATGCTGGAAAGGATATAACAATGGATTCGCGAAGCATTGCTTCAAATGCTAAAAAAACAATGTAGATAAAAGACGTTAAGATTTTCGTGGATGTGGCAATCAGCCGTTTAGCTCAGTTAAAGCGTCAGACCGCGAATGCCGAAGACGTGAGTTCGATTCCCACAGCGGCCACAATCTTTTCGTGCTTTTTCTACATATTTTAATAGGTATAAACTTTTAAATATGTTCTGTGATACAACAAAAAATAATGCAAAAAAATATTCAACTGACTGAAATAACAATGACGTCAACTCCATAAACGTAAAACTATAAACATCTCTTTATGTCTTCATACAACCCATATCAGTTAATCGATCCATAAACGTATTTTAATAAAGTGTTTAATGTTCACTTGAACACAAACGGCCTTAATTTTTACGACGTACTATGGAATAATACAAGGGCGGAATTTTTTCGTGTAGCGAATCCATATAAAGAGTTACTTATTAGGTATATTAAAATAACTAAGCCATCGCTTTATTTGGCGTATGGAATACTCTAATAATACGACACATTGCAAGCCAGCCTTAAAACTTAGTAATTGTACTACCTACTCATAAAAATAAACGATTGTTCACAAATTTAAAAAAAAAAGGTAACCAGAGTTCGAAACTATCAATTTCATATTTGTGAGAATCCATGGGCGACGGGCAATCACTTATTAATTTTGCCATCCTTTTCAAATAAAATAGGTCAAAGATATCATCGTCTCGGGTAGGAGTCGAACCCACGAACCGCAAAACGAAAGTGTGTTGCTTAACTGCGCAAATGGAATCATCAAAGTTGAGACGATAGTGTAGTCGTAATTAGGCATGGATGATGTAAACCAACTTACGCGTGACGTCCTTCAGCTTATCGTAGTGCACTGCGAAGGCGCGCGATGTGAAGAAGAATATCACAAGGTTACTCAGAAGAATGACCGCAACGGGCCCATAAAAGTAGGGCAGGGCGCCTTGGTCCGCTGTTAAAACAATTGCTAATAAAACTTTTGTACAGATTTTACTGCGTTCGTTTTTTCTTTTACTTATTTGCAGCAATGGAAGGTACGCATGTTAGCTTCGTTCTTTCACTAAAAAGTTTACGGTATCTATAAAAGGCAGGGTCTAATAAATGGTACATGACTTACTTTTAAACCAGCAACCCTTTACGCCAAAGTTGGGTTTCAGATAAGTGCTCGGTACGGCGGGGGATAAATCCATCGTAATAGTAACTATCAACAACAGCACTGGTAAGAGTATAGCATAGGCGCAGTACCATGCGAACCTTCGTCTCATACTCCTCCTACTAACCGACGCATTGATGTATCGCCTGGAACAAAATAGACACAATCGTTAAAAACATTATTTCAGTTAAAATACTTTTTTTTCAACGTTTTTATTTTACGTCTGCGTAGAATAGGCTGAAGGCGTAACATTTTTTTTTTTTTATGTGAAAAGTTGCCAAACGAGCAGACGGTTCACCTGATGGTAAGTGAATACCGCCGCCCATGGACATCTGCTACACCCGAGGGTTACAGATGCGTTGACAACCTTTTGAAGATTGGGCTCCAGCTACCTCACTCACCAGACGAAACGCGAAAGTATTTGTCATACTTCCACTTTACGCCGGTCTTCTGTGAGGTCGTGGTACTTACCCGGACGGGCCTGCCCATTCGTGCAACAGCCGAGGCTGCTGCGTGGCCCTACCACCGTTAAATTCAGACATTCAGACATTAAGACAGATATACATAAAATATATATATAAATTATAGCCTATGTCTTATTCTGAATAGCTATATTATTGTAAAGTTTCATTAAAATCCATTCAGTAGTATTTGCGTGTAAGAGTAACAAACATCCATCCATACATACAAACTTTCGCCTTTATAATATTAGTAAGGATTTTGCAGTCCAACAAAATAAATGATAGTACAGCATGCCATCTCGCTAGGCTTTCGCGAGATTAAATACTTCTTGAACGAATATATCCCCCAACCCATTGCCCTTTTAATCTGCCTGCCAGATTTATCATGCAACTTTTTGAATAGCCCACCTTCCCTACTTTAAAGATAAAACATTTATAATCATTTTTAAAAAGCATTCTGATTCTTACCTGACATTCAAGAATGTATCGAAACACATGACATTAAGCCAGAAGAAACAGGAGACGAACGACAGCTGGATGGAATACGCTGAAACAATTAAATATGTCAATTATTTTGATTAATATTTGATAATGCTACAAATTGTCATTACGGATTATATTTAATTGTAATGTTAAAGTTAAACTCACCCATGATGGTGCACACGGTCGTTGGGAAGGCATGGCCAGCCAGTTGTGTGGCGGCCAAGCAGGAAAAGGCTATTGCCAAACATATAGCGTGGCAGGCCAGTGCTTTCCCATGGGTATCTCTTAGCTCCGTTATAAACAGATAAATGAATGCAGTCGCTAAGAGGAATGGAACCGAAATTATTAAACCTACAAAAAATATATAAAGAATTATTAGTAAGATAAGTCATCATTACCACGTTACATCAGCATTTAAAGGAAACTAAAATACAAAAAAATAAACTAGACTCTTAAAATTGTTTTTAAGCTGCACCATGTAATAAAGAAATGTAATGAATGCAATAATTACTTTTTGGGATAAAATAAACCTCAAAACCAACCAACAGCATAATAACAAAGATATAACTAAAACTTCAAAAAAAATATTAACTATGACTACTGTCTATATAAATGCGTTACAATTCAAAATCTTTTCGGCAATATAGTAGCCGTTTAAACTTTCTTTCTAAACCACTTTACTATAAATGTAGCTTCACAGAATAGGTGAAGCTCGCCCCTTCTTTTGAATCACCTGGGTCCTTCACGACACATCTGTCGCTGTGTCAACTCTTACGACGCCCTTGGGATGATATGAATGATAGATTCACACCGCTGTTTGGATGTTACATTATGTAACACTTAATTACCTGTCGCATAAATTATCAGCGTAGCCGAAGTCTTCGTCTCCGTTAATGGTGTTCGAAAACAAACTAATGGAAGAGTCACTCCCGCAGGATTTGTCTCGTTCCAGAAAGTTTCCATGCAGTAATCTCTTGTCCCCAGTAAATGGGGCTCACTGAACGGGACAAAGAGCGAGCCATTCACCAACAAGTAGAACTCGTCTTCGCTCATTTTCTGCGGATCCAATTTGTATCTACAACCGTGTTACATTTAATTAATCATACAAATAATTTGGTCAAAATATTTCAATCGTCAAAAATGTGATGACCTGGAAATGGCATCTCTCAACAGTATCTCGGCATTGTTTTATATATTATACGTATGGAAAAGATTAATGCAATACATTAAGAAAAAAATATGTGGTATTCTCTCTTTTTATTTCGCCAACTTGAATATTTTACCTCACAAATGAAATACGCCCCGTTTAATTACAATGAAGTAATGGATGAGAGCATCATTTATAAATCCACATCCGCGTTCCGAATAAATGTTACGTTGTGATAATGGAAAAGTATTTTTGCTTTTTCAATACAACATAGCAGAGAACCATACAATCCGTGTATAATTCTTTTTTATCGCATTTTTACACATGCATAACAATATACTTTGATTGAACTTTAACAGTACTTAATTGTTAGTAAATGGACCGTCGCTATACTAGAGAGACAGCCGTGTCTGTCTGCACATTTATTTCCGTCTAATTTCAGTGAGGGTGTATTCAAAGTGATCATTCAGATTTTAAACATTATAGAAGGGCCTGTATATGTACCCTTTCTAATGTAGGATAACTTTATTCTGTGTTGTAAGGATTTTTTTTGTAATTTAATTCACATATTTATAGTTTAATATAAAAAAAAGTTCATAAATTTCACGTGGAGATTTACCGAAACAAGTATCTGTGGGTCACACAAATAGTTTTCCCATGTGAGAATCGAACCCACGACCGTCGAAACCAATACCTTGGCGCTCCACGGAGTCATTACAGTTCAAGCGACTGAAAAACAATACCAAAGGATAATAGAACAGAAAGCCCAATCGAATATTACCAACCTGTCATACAAGCAAGGGTTGCCAACTATAGTTTCGAAAACGTTGCTGTCGTAACTCCATATATGCGTGTCGTTCGCTTTGTGGAAAATTGGCTGGAACGTTAGACTGGAACGCGTGCACACCGTCCTCGCCACACCATTGTCTACTGCCACAGTGAGGTTCTGGCCGCTGGGGCAGCATTTCGGCGCGACAGGCAACTGTTTCTTCACCTCTTCGTCCTGTCAAAACGTATGAACGATCATCAGAGAAGCGGGGAACTCGGAAGGAAAACGGATTGGATAAAGCGAGGCCGCCTCAAACAAATCCTCGACACGATTGGTCAGACGTCAAACGAACAATAGCAGTGATCTGTCAAAACACAAGGATAATAAAAATTCATGAGGCGTATTTCAGGTTTAATCAGTCGTAAAATAATTTTATGAAGGTTAATTGAGCCGAGGCCCCGGCACTAAAATTGTGCACGTAAACGTCCAGAGATGAAGTAGTCTCAAAACCGACTTTCAAGGAGAATTATTTTGTGAATATTCGATATAAACATATATAATATGAAAAGATTCATATTATAATCTCTATTATTGTAACTAACTCTACTGTTAATCCTTGTTAACAGTTTTTATAACATCTAAAATTGTACCTCTTTAAATTTCAGTAAGAATTTACGTATGAAAACGCTATGTAAATAAAACAAAGTCAAAAATTAAAAGAGATAAAAATGACAACGCAGCTGTGTAACATACCGTTACACAGCTGCGTTGTCATTTTTTTTTTTTTTCGTATTTCTTATTTTTTGGGTATGTTTTATGCGTGCGAACATGAAATGAGATAATTGGGAGAAAAAAATATTATATACAGTAGAAATACAACATAAAATTTCACAGTACGTAATTTATTGTTTGTCACGGACTAATAAACAATATTCTTACGCCCGGTAAAAGTTAACTTATCTGCTGTCAAATGGCTTTTCAAATGTGTTCAGAATGATCAATTCAAAAAGTAGCTTTAACCATCCTTTTGGCAACTAAAATGACATTTGAAAAGCCATTTGACAGCTGATTAGTTAACTTCTACGATGATCAGTGTTTTAGAAACCGGGCTAGTTGTTAGTTACTTATATGTATTACTGATGTTACTGTTCTGTTTGAACTTAGTTCAAGAAATATACGCTCCATGCCGGGCAAATGTTATTTAGAAAGCAATTTACGAATCAATAATTATGACTGTGTAACATACTATAGAGACGTTTTCAAAGTTTTACTCGGATATTAGTTACTGGGTCAGTAAGGACCGAAAAGACTATTATACTAGTATTGGAAGCTTATGTGAGCGGTTAGAAGTTAGTCCGTATTATTTATAACTCATACAATAAAGGTTCATACAATAACTCTGTAATACTACTTTTAACTTGGGTGTAAATATTCACACAGTCTTTACTACTACAAATTGCACGAATCACTCACATAGTATAAAACAAAGTCGTCCCGCTGTCTGTCTGTCCCTATGTATGCTTAGATCTTTAAAACTACGCAACGATTCTTGGTGCGGTTTTTTTACTAGATAGAGTGATTCAAGAATATGTATGAATCCGGAAAGCACAGGTTCGAATCTCGGCAACGCCGAAAATTGTTGCCACAGTTTTGCCTACATATTTTAAATATTTGAGCTCAAATATATCGCACAAGAAGTTTCATAACTTTTTATATGAATGGAGCTACTTCTGATATCGGAATTAATTCTACATGTGCCTTTAATCACGACTTGAAACAATTATTTAATTATTATTTCGGAATACTTTAAGTCACAATCGATTCTACTACTGTAACGGACCACGCAACATATTCTGCTATTTTCTAATTTGCGAGGATGTAAAGTACAACCCTACCGAAGACTGGCGGTGTCGTTTTGGTACGGTTAGTATGGTAACCGGATACTCAGCCTTAATGACACTTGTCAATGAGCGTGTAAGCTTACACGCTTTGCCATTTTATTTATTTAAATAAAAACAGAAAACTATTTCACTATCTGAGTGTCCCTCTATGATTTTTACATTTTTATTATTTTATAATTTACTTACATAGTGAATGAAGAAAAAGAAAATAAAGAAAAGAAGGCCTAACACTATGGTTATAATTATACTTGTCAAGTATAGCCGTAATAGCTCATTATCCGATCGCTCGCTTTCAATTACTTATACTGCAAGCTGAGCTCGATCCCCGGTGCCGGCACCGCTGAGATTGTTAATTTTAAGTCCTGGCTTATACCGTGCTCATTATATACTTGTCAAGTATATAATATAAATCAAAGCCTGAACATTTCCGAGTCCACATCAATTTTTAACAATATATGAGAATTAAATAAAGTATCGTTTCTTTGTAAGTTTCTTGACTTAAACTATGAAGCGAATTGAGACTTCAGAGTCTATAAAGTTGCTTCGCTCTTCGTTCTTACGGCGTTAGACTGCACGACGCATAAAAGTCCGTTGGAGAAATTGACAGGAACTAACCTGCCACAATGGGAATACCGTTCTTCCATCTATGCGGGGCACGTCAAATGTATTATAATACATAACTATGTTACAATAGCCAAAAAAACATAACAATAAAACACCATTTATGCTTAGCGGCGTATGAATGACAAACAACGTTAGCAAACAGTCAACGAAACTTTTGTACCTTCCATAAATGCATACTCGACGCTTTAAGATGCATTAAACTAAATGTTATTATTTTAATGTTTAAAAACATTCAATATGAAATAAATTTTGTTATGTGTTTTTGTACGCTTATTAATTTCAATTACCGAATGGAATCGTCTTATTGATTGTTTCGCTCTAACAGTATATTCACGTAATGAAATTAAGTGTTATAAATACAGGATAAAATGTGTTACTAAAATATTCTTTCATCCTTTGACGAAATTGTCTTTTATGTGTCGATAGAAGAATAGAAGTAGATTTGTTACACCGTCAATGTTAGCATATAATAATTTTAAGTGACGGCACATAAATTCACAACCGGCATGATGAACGTTTCATTTTCTTAAATTGAAAACAATCTTCAAAATCACAACAAGTACGGCGTGTTATAATCCATACTAATATTATAAATGCGAAAGTAACTCTGTCTGTCTCACTTTCACGGCAAAACTACTGAACCAATTTAAATGAAATTTAGTACCCAGATAGTCTAGAGCCTGAGGAAGGACATAGGCTACTCTTTAATTGGAGAAAGTGTTGTAAAGGGTTGGAAATATCTTTCTTTAAATAATATATATAGTTTTTAAAGAAAGATATTTATGTAGGAGCTTCTACGCGAGCGAAGCCGCTAGGCTAGTTTCTAATTATGGAAACAACGAGGGAATCACACCTGACTATGGTTTTCCGCTACAGTTGCATAAAAGTATAATAAAATAAAATGAATCGAAACATAGCTGATTATGGTTTTTCACTAGGTTGTATGAAGGTATAATAAATTAAAATGAATTATGTACTTAGACTTCGTTTACATTATCATCATAATCATTACAGCCTGTTTGAGTCCACCTATGTTCAGAGGCCTCCCCCACACACCGCCACGTAGCTCGACCTGAGCCACAGGCAATAAATACCCAGGACAATGTTAACGATGCCAGGAGTCTGGAAGACAATCTGGCAGCTATAGGTTAAACCTCTGATGATAACTTGTTTTTTTTTTTAAAGGTTTTTACTTTAGGTTGTAAACATATGCAAACTCTAACAACCTGCTTTAAAAAGCCGGGCAGGAAAATAAGTATTTATCCTATATTTTCATTTCATACAAATGTGGGTTCAGTTGCTTTAGTAAAAATACGGCTAAATGATTATGTAGAACGTCATAACTTCTTCCGCAGCTATCATTCCGCATTCCGCTTTGCATTATAAAATATTTCCATTCCCTTTTACACGAGACGCGTTCTATTCTGAAACCGCGAATGCGAAATCTATTTTTGCGCGAACACTAATGTAAGGTACGTATCTGATTTTTGAAACGAAATATTTTTATACAATAGAATGCAAGGAAATTTCGTTTAGAGAATGGAAACATTATGCTCCACGATTTATTTATAATTTTTATTTCGGTATATTATTCAACATTTTTTTAATCTTTGAATTTCATCTCATCAAATTTAGATATAAATGTACTTTTGGTCGCGTGGTTGTCAAATATTGAATACAGTTTATATTATTGTTTGTTTGTATAGTTTGTTTTGATTAAGTACTAGCTATGCACGCGACTTCGTCCGCGTGAAGTTTTAAAAAAATAATAAATTTCTAAAATAAGAGTATTCTAAGTTACTCCCTATTACATCAGCTATCTACCAGTGACAGTCCCGTCAAAATCGGTCCAGCCATTTCAGAGATAAGCTGGAACAAACTAACAGAGAAAAAAATATATTTTAGTACTAGCTGCTGCCCGCGACTATGTCTGCGTAGAATAGGCTGTAGGCATAACGTTCAGACAGAAAGACAGATACACATAAAGTATGTATATAAATAATAGCCTTTTTCTTATTCTGATGTAAATATAAGCTATATTATTGTAAAGTTTCGTTTAAATCCATTCAGCAGTATTTGCGTGAAAGAGTACCAAACATCCATCCATACTTACAAACTGTCGCCTTTATAATATTAGTAAGGATATGTACTGCCATATGCATTTAGTAAATGCATATGGAAGTATACACGGTAAGGATATGTACCGTATACACTTCCATATGCATTTAGTAAAGAGCGGTTATTTGAATATTACAAACAGACACTTCAATTTCATTTATCTGTATACATAATGGTGGCAAATGGCAGTGTCGTTCGTTGTGGCGTTCTAAAGGGGAGGCCTATTTTCAACAAACGTCTTGCGATTGATGATGATGATAAAGTATGATTTATGTAAAAAAAGTTTTGTAAGTCATATAATGACAAAATACTGATATCTGCCAACAACGATAACGTTCTGTTACTTATGATGATAAATAAACTGTAATAATATAGAATAATAGATAATTCCGTCTGTCACATGCATTCTAATGAATGCTGCTTCATCGCTCATAAGCGTAAACGCATCTAATTTTTTCTTGGGGAGCCCCGTTGATTCAGGAAAACCCACTTGGATCACTGCAATTAAGACCGATAACCGGTATATGCGTCACCTGCTAACGGTAAAATAACTGGCCATGCATAATCCCCCAACACTGGACTAATGTCTTC